TGAGATATCAACACTCACATCTGTAAGTCATGAGCAGTGTGTACAGACGGTAAAAGATATTGTTCTGGTATTTTTCGTCCTCTACTTGGCGGCCATCTTTGATTTCGAAATAGTTGGCATTTTAACTATTGTCAAGATCATTCATTCAAGATCACATTCAACGAATCAGGGTCCAATTTATAGAGCTCTACATTTGTGTACATGTACATACACACTACTGCCTAAAAATTCATCCCCCCTTACACGCGTGGGCAACGCGTGACGCATCCCGTGTGGAACCCGTCCGCAACGCGTGTGAGACTCGTGAGCAACGCGTTGAACACGAGTGTGCATCCCGTTCGCCACTCGTGTGCAACGCTTGATACACTCATTACAGAGGGAACAAACTTTTGGCCAAATGAGGACCCAAGTTAAGCTGAGATTGGAAGTAGTAACAAGGAGCGCAATGTTTGATATCCTGACATAAATGTTCATACACAATTTATGATATGTACTTGCTGATGTCTCCTTTTCAGCTGTGATTTTGTTGGAAAATATATACCGTTGTGATCAATCAGACCCATACAATATTGGCTTCTACATGATCTTTTGCGATGGGGTTAAGAGGCTACATGATCCTGGAATATGGTATTGTCATTGACAAATGTGTGTGATTTGACATTAAACGTTTGTTGTACTTACAATAAATACCCACATGAAATTGACATAATTAATATTGAAAGCTGATTTGCGGAAAGTAGCTACAAATTTTGTATATGTCCTTATATCTCATAATAATAATAATAATAATAATAATAATAATAATAATAATAATTATGAATTTGTATAGCGCAGCATTCACTGTACATAAGTGCTCTGTGCGCTACAATGAAACTTATATTCAGTGGTAGTGTTTTTTGAACAGGTGGGTCTTGATGGGTTTTTTGAAGCAGGAGAGTGATGAGGAAGTCTTTATGGAGAGAGGGAGTTCATTCCACTTGGAACTTGCTGTGTAGGCGAAGGATCGCATGCCGAATGATGATGTCTTCACAGGTGGCACTGTTAGAAGGAGCTGAATTTGGGACCGCAGAGAGCACACACTCTTGTAAGGTGGAATCAGTTCTGTCAAGTAGGCTGGAGCTAGATGGTTGACACATTTGTAGGCAAAGAGAAGACGTTTGTAGTCAAGTCGTGCACGTATCGGCAGCCAGTGTAGGTTCTCTAGAATCGGGGTTATATGTTCAAATTTGCGGGTTCTTGTGACGATTCTTGCAGCAGCATTCTGTTGAATGTCGGTTTATTTGTTGTTGACAGATGTTAGAGAGAAGGCTATTGCAGAAGTCTATCCGGGACATAACAAGAGACAAGACCAGAGTGGATGCAGCAGATTGACTAAGATAGTTTCGTAATTTAGCAATGTTGCGAAGATGAAGGTTAGCTGTCCTGATTATGTGTGTGATTTGGTCTGTCATCTGGAGATGTCTGTCAAACCATACTCCAAGGTTCTCATCTTCTGGCTTGGTGTTACCTTTAGATCTCCAATTTTTATGTCACAATCTAGAGCTTGAAGTTGTGATAACTTGCTTTTCGATCCAATTAGCAGGTATTCAGTCTTATCAGTGTTAAGTTTGAGAAGGTTTCTTGTCATCCAATTCTGGTAATCTGCACAGCATCGTTGAGCATTCATATGGCTATGTGAGAATTGTTCGAAGCAGGAACAAGGCATAAGATAACACTTTATTATTGCGTGTATGTATACGTACATTTTCTTTCTTCGACATGAATCCCAATCTGTGGTTATCAATACACACTAAGATAGCACGATAATGTAAGCTTCGTTTTAGGATAAAGCAACTCCTGGGATGAGCGTTCGATTGCCATCTTTAAGCACCAATGCAGGCGTAAAGTTCAGCTTTGCAACTGTCACTTTTACAAAACCAATAAAGACGGTAACCTAAATCCTTGGCTAAAAGGCACTGCCAACTGAAACACTGGAGTTAACGTGAAGTTTAATATCATATTGCATGGCTCTCAAATCCGAGTCGAATGTGGCTCAGTGTAGTATGAATACATGTTGCCGATGTTATTTAACACTGTAGACCCTTTTAGGCCGTGGCAGAATTATAGCCCCTAAATCTTCCCACACAATCCAACGTCACCGTCTTATATTTCAATAGAAGGCAACTGGCTTTTTGTCTCTTTCAGAAAAAGAATCAAACCGACAACAACCGACCTCGCAGCAATAATTATCACATCAGCTACTCTCAAAGCTTTCATTAAAGTAAATATGAAGTCCGAAATAAAACACCGGATATTTTTTTCTGAAATATTAGGCTTCACCATACCATGTTTCAGACGTCATCATAAGGCCGGAGGTAGTGAACGTTTTTAGCGACAGAATGTAGCGGGGAAATGAGACGGTTTTATAATTTAACGTGGAGCGATGAGAATCGAAATTGGAAGTCAGTAAATCAGAGAATACTTTGATATATGCGAACCATTCCCACCCATCATTGTTGCGTACTGTGTGCGTTTTTGTGTCCGTGGGCGTTTGCATGCTGACGTACCGCGAATCAATCATAAGGTATCCGCATAAAATATCCTATTTAAGATGTGACTGAGATGCCGAAGTCATCATTATCACACCACTATTACAACCTGCTGTGGTTCGGGCAGGACATTCCAGCAGTTTACAATGTGAACGATGACACACGACAACCAGAATTTTCTACAACATATATTTGGGTTCGGAGCTTAAGGGGAGGTGAAATGGGGTTTAACGTCGCGTCCAAGATTATCGCACTTATATAGCGACGTGCATGTACGTGTGTGTGTTTGTGTGGTTGCTTGTAATAGTCCGGACTGATGCCGATTTATAGTGCTAGCTCCCTGAGATACCATGCCGCAGTTTAACATGAATACCCCACTCAGACACAGTATACTGACTCCAAACCGACCAGTCCTTGTTTTAGCCCCTTAATGCCGAGCGCCAGACAGGGTAACAACAAGTACCATCTTTTAACGTCTTTGGGTATGACGCGGTCGGGGATCGAACCCCGGACCTTCCGCTCTCCGGGCGAACGCTCTACCACTAGACCACGGAGGCGGTCTCGTAGGTTAAGAGTGTGTTGATATACGTTTACGTCAGTTATATTACACCTATATCACAGCCGCCTGCATATAAATGTGCCGGGCCAACCAGTGGTTGTTAGCATGAGCAAAAGGTGAAAGGTTCGGTGAGGTCACAAATAACAATCACCCGATCCTCAGCAATCAGACCTCTTACGCGTGAGGTACTTGGGAACAATGCTGACCCAGAATCCAACGGGAGTAAAAATGTTCGACATTTGACATATTCTTTGTAGAGTATCCGTCATGGTTCCAGTCTTTGTCATTATACTTGTATGTCAACTTGTGCATTTCCGTGTTAGGCACAATGATGCTGCAGATATAACCGTTTACCCGAGATGCGATTAACTTTTCTGACCCCAACTACTCAAAAATTGAAGCCAATGCTGTTATGCCCTAGCCATCTACATCATGATCTGTGGATGTGGGTCCTCCTAACCTGGATGTGCAGAGTTGTATACCTTTGTTGTGTAAGGATTCGCTTGTCGGTTTGAGTCAGGGTCTGGTGAGCATCATACCCGTAATTGTGCCGTAAGTCTTTCCTTTTCCAATCTGACGCTGTCATATAACAGATATTTTCTAAAGCAGCTTAAAGCCGACGTCTTGCAGTAAGATCATCAGTTCCTATTTGCTTCGATCTTTAGTTTAAACACGTGAGTGACACAGTCTAAGTAAACACATTTGTCTTGGTCTTTTCATTGATTCATTTGTGTCAGCCGTGGCGTTGCTACACGTTCACTTAGACTTCATAGTATTATGGTTTCACACATATGAGTAGGGATGTTTATCATTGCGCATAATAATTAGGAATATTTACAATGCCAAGGTTTGACAACTTGATCACACTCGCAAACGAATTTCGGTTTGGTATATTAAATATAAAACGTCAACGTCAAAGAATACGAAAATCTCGATTATCCGCCAAAACAGATTCCACTTAGCGCATAAGACAATATAGAGGTGAAAATTATATGAATGAATCACTGAAAAGCAGCGATGATACCAGGTGTTCGTGAAAAGGGTAAGCATGTCCTTCCCTACCGTTAGCACCCGCCATTCACACAATTCGCACTAAAAGTGTTTGTTGCCTGGCAGTACTCCCGCCATGCAAACACTAAAGTTGAACTGGTAAAGGACACCCAGAGGTGACGTGAGTTGAAAAGAGGTTTGACGTCGAGTTCAATATCATTACACTTATAAGGCGCGTATGTGTGTGTGTGCGTGTGTGTGCGCGCGCGTGCGTGCGTGCGTGCGTGTGTGTGTGTGTGTGTGTGTGCTTGTAGTAGTTCGGACTAATGCGGATGTTATAGTGCTTTCCCACTGAGATACCATGCCACAGTTTAACATGAATATCCCACTCGGACACAGTATACGGACTCCGAGCCGACCAGTCCTTGTTTTAGCCCATTACTGTCGAGCGCCAGGCAGGGTACCATATTTTAATGTCTATTAGTATCACGCGGCTGGGGATCGAGCCCCGACCTTCCGCTCTCCGGGCAGATGCTCTACCACGAGACCGGGGTGCCGGTCACGTCGTCTAGAAGTTGAACATTATTCACGCGCAGCACACGTGTAAAATATGCATCGTATTACATCACTGCGTAATACGACGCCATGATAACAATGTCAATTTGGCGTCATTCTAACACCACTAGTTTTGGGACTCTGTTTCACCAGAAAGGTGCCCACAAGAACTTATCATATGATGTGGATTAGAAAGAGCTTTCGAAATGCACACATGCAGACACTCGTTCGTGAAACCAGCATGACTGTCACATGACAGCTTTTGTATAACCCCAAGCTATACCCAATACTTGTATGTGCATCATACTGCTACTTTGAGTAAAGGTAAATGAGTAAGTGACTTATGTGTGTAATATAAGTCCACATACCTGGAACATATTCCAGTATTTGGAAATCTGAGAGATCGGCCCCGTCACTTGGAAGCAGGCGTCTCCGAAGAGGATCACCTTGGTAGAGTTGTGATCATCCATCATATCGAAAAACACCCGCGTTGCCATCGCCATGTCACACTGAAAGATGAGGAGGATACTATAGATAAAGAACGATGCAGATCATTTATCAAAGGTGGGAAATTAAAATAGTAGTGAGTGAGTGAGTTGGGTGTAACGCCGCTTTTAACAGTATTACAGTTATATCGCGGCGTGTCAGCTTAGTGTGGGAGGAAAGCCCAAAGTGATGCAGGTCTCAGACGTTTACCACTTCGGTGAAACCCACGAGCACGGGTATGGTGCTGACAAACCTAGAAACATAATCGGGGCGAACCGGGATTCGAACCCACAATCATAGGTTTCTGGCGCAAGGGACGCAACTCTGCTCAGCGAATCGCGGCGCCTTAGACGACTGGGCCACCCGTGCCCCCTTAAAATAGTAGAATAAAGTGGGAATTGAAATAGTTCATATCTGAAATGTTCGGCTTTTTTGTGTCGGTAGACATATGTACGTGTACAGCTAATAATGGTGTCTCATGGAAACACACGAGAGTAATAATGTTGATGTCATTTTTACATGATATATATTTATTCAGTTCTGCAAAATTTAGAAACAGTGTAAAAATACAACGCTGGAATGAACTGTCCAGGTATATTTTTTGCCAAATGTTTGCCGTGTATTGATTACAGATGCGCCCACACATCGGGAATGATTTTCTAAACTATGTTGTAACGTGATACTATGGTTATTGGTTACGTATATTGCATTGGTATGACGCAGTATTTATAGGTGTTGATGTGTTACTGATGGAAGTTCATTCACCTCCTTGTTGGCCTACAATTAAAAATGTCTGGTCCTGTTTATCCTGATAGCTGTTTCTCTTGTGATAACATTACGAAGAAACGTTTGAAATTAAAAATGCTATTCCAGTAAGGAAGATATAATTGATTTAGTTTAGATGGTGCAGTCTCAACCTATTTACAAATAACGTCTGTTTAAAATATTTATCCTTTTCCATGTCATCTGTTTAACCCAAGTATGTGAACATATTGCCTGTACTAACTGTTAAGATGAGTATTCTCTACAGTCACATACCATGCGATACCACACCAGTGTTTTCATAAACAAGGGACGTTTTGTGTAAACCGTCACACTAATTGCTAGAACATACGCAGACCAGCTGTTTTGCCACAAGGCGAGCTCAACCTTTCACCACGGCATGGACCCATCGTACGTATTTTGATAGTTTGACATAGGCAGGAGTGAGTTAGTCAGTTCGTGGCTGGGAATCTCTGTATAGATTAGAGTGTCTGATCTACACCGCAGCACCGGGACACTTCAGTTCGTGGCTAGGAATCTCTGTATAGATTAGAGTGTCTAACTACACCGCAGCACCGGGACACTTCAGTTCGTGGCTCGGAATCTCTGTATAGATTAGAGTGTCTGATCTACACCACAGCACCGGGATACTTCAGTTCGTGGCTCGGAATCTCTGTATAGATTAGAGTGTCTGATCTACCTTGCAGCACCGGGACACTTCAGTTCGTGGCTCGGAATCTCTGTATAGATTAGAGTGTCTGATCTACACCACAGCACCGGGATACTTCAGTTCGTGGCTCGGAATCTCTGTATAGATTAGAGTGTCTGATCTACCTTGTAGCACCGGGATACTTCAGTTCGTGGCTCGGAATCTCTGTATAGATTAGAGAGTCTGATCTACACCGCAGCACCGGGACACTTCAGTTCGTGGCTCGGAATATCTGTATAGATTAGAGTGTCTGATCTACACCGCAGCACCGGGACACTTCAGTTCGTGGCTCGGAATCTCTGTGAGATTAGAGTGTCTGATCTAAACCACAGCAGCGGGACACTTCAAGGATCGGTGGTCAGACTCGCTGATTTGGTTGATGCAAGTATCCCAACTGTTTGGATCGATGTTCACGATGTCAATCACTGGATTGTCTGGTCCAGATTCGATTATTTACAGACCACCGTCATATAGCTGGAATATTGCTGACTGTGGCGTTAAACAACAAACAGACAAACAAACAACATCTAGATTCAATGACACCTTGATTGAAACTACTTTAGCTCTAATACCAGAGAAGTGTTCTCAATAAAAGTGGCCATTGCTCCTCATCCATGATCCGTTCATCTAAAATTGTATCAGTCTGGACGATTTCACTGGAAATGCTGGCTTCTGGATAAACGAGGTTAGCCTGCATTCACGGGAGGTAGTGTGGTTGTTTTGGTTGAAAATGGCAAACTTGTAGAATAAAAATGACAGTATGTCTTCTGTGAGTGGTTGAATGTTATATCAAGTATCCCAGATTGTATTTACAAAATGGTTGTCAGTGGTAGCCAAGTCATCTGTACCGACCAAGGCGTGTCAACATCCTATTACAGTGAGCCCGAATCCCACATTCCAACAAATAATAATAGTTGGTCTTTCAGCACAAAACTCGTGCTCGTGGGTTACTCTAAACTAGCAACGTCTACATCCTGCATCAATTTGGGCGGTCCTACATTACGCAGTCACGCCGTGATGTAACAGAAACATTGTCCAAAGCCGCGCTAAACACAACACACTTGTTCACTATTAAAACATAAATAGACTATGCAGTATGATAGACAAATTCTGACTTGTTATCCTCGAGCAAAATTACTTTAAGATATGTGTTCATCGAGCCTCATTATCTTAACACCTAAAAGTCATATAAAAACAACAAAAGAAGTGATGATTCCGACAAATAACCAATTCGTAGAGATCTTAAGAACCAAGGTAGACAGACACCCAGCGACCCTGGCACGTCTATATTCCAAACTAGCGTGCACGTGTACATTACACTGGAAACCTTAATCAAGTTCAACGTAACTCTTGACAACTTACATAATTAAATCTTCCTGACTTGTTTTCCGGCTTCGGTTTGGTGTCACTGTACCCTAATGTGATTAAGCACTTATCAGTTGTTTGCTACCACAATGTTATTTGCCAGACATCCGGATTCTTGCTATGGGCATGCTTCCCACAGAGACAGAGAGTCGCGCTGGTAGATCACACGAAATATATTATAGTAAGACTTCCTTTGCCACACTCAATAGTGATATCAAAAAGATGTCACCTTGCGTTTGTATGTAGTTTCCGTCCGCGAGAGACTCCACACGCAGATCTGGAAGTACGCATTTGCATTTCTGATGCCGGTAGGTGTGTAACTATTGATTGAACTGAGCTATTTCAGATGGCCATGTCACGATTGCAATGTATTGATGACATGTTAAAATGTTGTTTGAGAGAGGTTACATCAATACCGTACTAAACTATTCACAGTTTGGATACCTTATCAAATATGAAATTATGCTTGTTGACACTTTTCGTGAGTACTTTACAATTCGTCTTTATCAAAAGTACACATTGACTGAGGAGACCTTAAAATTCCCATATACCTGCACATGTAGCCTTGCTGTGTGATCACAGTCATTGAAAGATCTACTAGAGACTTTACGTGAAGGTCGTGTTTAGCCGAGACTTCATTAAGTTCGCAAGCTGTGTATTGGTACTGTGTTATATCAAAACGTATAACAACAGCAACCGGCACTATGTTCACCAATCTGTAATACACTATCTGCACCGAAACACGAGTTCAGTAGTCATGGGTAACTTACATACTACATACATAGTTCAATAACCTGTGTACAGATGGATCAAGTTCAAAATATCCACGCACAACTTGCCTCGTGCTTCATTCTTTAAGAAACCGATTGTCAATTGTCCATTCAAGAGCTTAACAGACAAGGCCACTTCAAAAGATTAAGTCTCCGACTTGAACTCAGAAAGTCCTATTGGTATATATTAATTGTTGAATTGTCTCGAGGGGTACAGGGTGTGATCTACCCTGTGTGCGGGCCAATGTGTCCTGAGTCAGACAGCGCATGTATAATGGTTAATATTCGACCTCACTACCCGAGTGCAATGAATGTTAAATGTTTATTATTACATGTTACTACCAGAGCGCAGTGCATGTATAATGGTTCCGTGTCACAACCCGCGTAGCGCATGTATAATGGTTCCGTGTCACAACCCGCGTAGCGCATGTATAATGGTTCCGTGTCACAACCCGCGTAGCGCATGTATAATGGTCTATCGTCCATGTCACAACCCGCGTAGTGCATGTATAATGGTTAATCTTCCATGTCACTTCCTGTACAGTGCATATATAATGGTTTATTTTCCATGTCACTCCCCGAATAGTGCATGTATAATGGATTTTCTTCCATGTCACTACCCGCGCAGGGCATGTTTAGTGGATTTTCTTCCATTTCACTACCCGTACAGTGCATGTATAATGGATTTTCTTCCATGTCACTTCCCGCGTAGCGCATGTATAATGGATTTTCTTCCATGTCACGACCTGTTCAGTGCATGTATAATAGATTTTCTTCCATGTCACTACCCGCGCAGGGCATGTATAATAGATTTTCTTCCATGTCACTACCCGTACAGTGCATGTATAATAGATTTTCTTCCATGTCACTACCCGTACAGTGCATGTATAATGGATTTTCTTCCATGTCACTTCCCGCGTAGCTTATGTATTATAGATTTTCTTCCATGTCACGACCTGTACAGTGCATGTATAATAGATTTTCTTCCATGTCACTACCCGCGCAGGGCATGTATAATGGATTTTCTTCCTTGTCACTACCCGTACAGTGCATGTATAATAGATTTTCTTCCATGTCACGACCCGCGCAGTGCATGTATAATAGATTTTCTTCCATGTCACTACCCGCGCAGGGCATATATAATGGATTTTCTTCCTTGTCACTACCCGTACAGTGCATGTATAATAGATTTCCTTCCATGTCACTACCCGCGCAGTGCATGTATAATGGATTTTCTTTCATGTCACTACCTGCGCAGTGCATGTATAATGGATTTTCTTCCATGTCACTACCCGTGCAGTGCATGTATAATGTTTAATATTCCATGTCACAACCCGTGCAGTGCATGTATAATGGTTTATCGTCCATGTTACAACCCGTGCAGTGCATGTATAATGGTCTATCTTTCATGTCACAA